CTTTTTGCTCAGTTACACCTGCTGGCTCGTGTTAACTGGCATCACCACATGTGATTGTATTACTTGGAACAAGTGAGTAGCCGCCTACAATTATGTGAACGACCTTTTTTGAAATGTTCGTCTGTGCCGACACATTTCTTAGCTACTGTCTACCAATAGGGGGTTCAAAGGCGTTTGCCTACATTCCCTTGAAAAACTTGACTTGACTTGATTTGCATGTGTCAGTAGTAGAAAATGACTGTCGTATGTGCGTAGTGCACCAGGCCTGAGTCAATTGTGAAACATGAAGACCGACGGATTTGACTAAACTGACCAAGTCGTTGACCGCCGTAGTGATCCCCTTTGTGAGATGGCAAATTTAAGGGCACAAGATGGGCATATTTTAACGAAGCAGGCAACCTTGCTCACCTGAAAATGCGCGCACGAAACTCGCATCTTTTCCACGAACTGTGTTCTCAGGTTGTTGTACTTTTCAACTGAATACTTGTAGTCGTCCTGGGCCTTCTTCAGTTTCCCCTCAGCCTTCTCCTTCTCCTTGGCAGAGTGGGTTTCGTTAAGGCGAATTCGTTCGTACTCTGTGTACCGAGTGTGGTAAAGGTCCTTGGCTTTTTGCAACTGAGTAGTAGCAGCCTGGAAAAAAGGTCAGTTGACTGAGGTCAAATAATTGGGGTGTAGACTAGAAAACGAACATTTAAAACATGTGAGCAACCATGTTCGTCTTTTCATACAAGGGGGAGGGGTGTGAATAGGGAGGAGGAAGGTAAAAAGATACGGTGGGTTAGGCGGTTAATGGTATATTGAACCGTGCCAGGGGGGAAGGAAGAGAGGACACGGATGAGTGCACAGGTATGCTAGCTAGGTAGCTTTCGGAATCACTCGACTGGAATTTTCGCAATTATAAATCGGTCCATAGACCCTGCGATGTTAAAGGCACTTAATGGGTGCGTTCGTTTCAACACAAAACTTGTGGAGGCGAAAATACTGGTCAATTGTATTTGAGACTGTATTTAAGGAGCTGAGAATATGAGCCGCTATTGGAGAGCGCTGCGACGTGGGCCATACAGTGATGACCGCCGAAACCCTGAGGAGATATGTCGAGAATCAACTGGAAAGCGCTCGTGTAAATATGCGTGTGCTAACGCGCCGCCGTTCTGGACACTCTGATGGAGGACAAAAGACAAGAATTTAGCAGCTGTATTTAGTCCATAGGAAGAAAACTCGGAGCCGCAAATAGATCGACACTTTTTAAAGGGTGCACTGAACGAAGCTACAGTCAAGGCTTCCAAAATATCCAGATCGGTAAATACATAACCATTCTTCTTTAAAACACGACAAAATATCAATTGACTCATAATCAACTGGCCCCTAATCCTGCGTACTTCGTCAAAAATTTAATCAGTTCGGGGTAGATAACCATTTGAAGAATTTCGAGAACCAAACCTACGACCTAAAGTTCGTCTCCTCAGATGGTATCCAACTCTTTAAATCAACACAGATGAATGGTATTTACCAGTACTTGAACCGCAATAAAAACTCGGGGATTTTTGACAAAATCACACGTAGGGAACACAAAATAAGTTTCAAGAGAATAAATATATCCTGGTAACTAAACCGTATAAAGGGACAGCCGTCGTTATAATGAACAGACGTAAATACATAACGAAGGTGCAGCCCAAATTGTCAGACAATGTAAAATTAGGGAGACTAGTAAAAAGGAAGGGATTGAAAGGATGAAGTTGAGGATAAGTGACCAATTGTTTAAAAATACTCCACGCAGGGGTTTCATAAGCGACTGCGTTCTCGAACGCCTCCGACCAGTACGCATCCACACTCATCGATTTTATGGTCTACTGATGATCTAAAAGGATGGCCTGCCAGTTCGTCCAATTTTGGACATGCTAAACTCTCATTATCATGCGACAGCCAAATGCTTAGTAGAAAAACTCAAGTCCCTACCGCAGCAGATAGCACCATGTAGCTATCTAGATACATGTGCATACATTAAAGACGTCAAAAACATGAACTTAAACGGCGTGTTAGTGTTCTCTTTAGACGTCCTATCACTTGTTACTAACTTCCTTGGCACCGGAACAGTCGATTACATCTGCGAATGCCTATTGAGCAAGCAGTGGGAAAAGGGATAGCAACGAATGCATTAAAGCAGGGGTCGGAAACGTATGGCTCGCGAGCCAGGTGTGGCTCTTTTGATGATTGCATCTGGCT